TTAGAATCACAGAATCGTAGAATAATTTGTGTGGGAAAAGATCTCTAGGAGTATTGAGTCCAACCACTAACCCAGCACTGCCAAGCCCATGACTAAACCATGTCCCCAGGTGCCACACCTTCACGTCTTTTAAGCCCCTCCTGGGATGGTGGCTCCACCACTGCCTGGGCAGCCTGTTCCAGGGCTTGACAACCCTTTAGGCAAAGAGATTTTCCTGATATACATTCTAAACCTCCCCTGGTGCAACTTGAGGCTGTTTCATCTTGTCCTGTCACTTGTTACGAGGGAGAAGAGACCAACTCCCACCTGGCTGCAACCTCTTTTCAGGCAGTTGTAGAGGGTGATGAGGTACCCCCCTGAACCTCCTCTACTCCAGGCTAAATACACTTGTAAATATCTTCATCTGTTACCATTTTTAACTTGTGTCTGGTGCCTTGTGTGCACCAATTTTACTTTTTACTTTCCTTTATGTCAACCAAACAGATGTGAAACTGTGCAGTTGCAGGTGAAGCTCTGCTGTAGGTTGCAGCTCCTAGCCTAAGGGGCATTTCCAAAAGTCATTGTGCTGTTTGGTGCCTCTGAGAGGTGATCAGGTCTTTCAAAGACAGTTGAGGCACAGGCTGAGAAAAAATCAGAACATGAGATAGCATTGTTGTTTTCAGCTTTTCAGGACCATGACATGATGCCCATGAGGTTATAAGCTCTTACCACTCCTATGGCATAGATGGGAGATGATTGAGCTGAAGATGCTCTATGCTGTAGGTGCTGATTCAGCCATTATGTAGTGGAGCACCTTCAGGGCTGTTCCAAGTTCAGCTTGACCCTGAGCTTGATCTGTTTCTGTCTCCTTGTCCTGGGTATCAGAGCTGAAAGATCCCACAAAGGCCCATGGTGTTCTTGTTCTTGATACTTATTCCAACAATGTGTATGAAGAGAAGCTAACTTTAACACTCTTCTTTTTTCCAAGAAAGCCATTGAGACATGTCAGGAAATATCACGGCTTTGGCTATGAAAACAAGAAACCCCAGAAATTCTACTGCAATCTTTGTGCTGTTTTTTAGCTGCAAGTACTTGGAATGTAGCTGCATGAGGCTTTTCTGGTTCAGACACCTACAGAACAATGCAGCCAGCAATATGGGCAGAAGCTAAAGAACTTCCACAATTATTGACATGCTGAGGATTTTTAAAATTTTTTTTCTTAATGTCTACCTGCAATAGTAGTGACTGAACTGGGGGGAATTCAGAAATTGACTTTGAAAGCAAGGGAGATTCTCTAGTCTGCTGGTACTTGATTACACTCTGCAGAAGTACCGTGGAAGTTTTATTGTGCAAGCAATGCATCTTGCCCTTCCTAAATGTGCTGGTTTGAAAGCAAATCGGTGA